TTGTGTAAGAAAATCTTTTCTATGAGTCTCTTCTAATTATTATTATTATTATTCTAAATATTGTTTTTTTTTTAATTTATTCAATCATAAACTATTTTAGCTCATTGATCAAATGAATTTCATTAGATCAAATAATTTGATTTATTTTTATCTTACTAATTAGTAATTACATATGATCTAAATTTAATTAAATATATAAAATCGAATTCTCTTCTTCTTCTTTACTATTCTAAGTCGACTAAATTATTTTTAATTAAAATTATTAACTAATTCACCTGAATAAAGAAGAATAAAATCAATCTAAATATAAATATATGAAATTGATAAAATCAATATCAAATATGATAGTCGAATTCACTTGTACTTACTCTTCAATTCGAGATTCATTTCTTCAGTCTAAAAACTTTTCATCTCAACATTGATATTGAACATATCAAATCTTTAAAACAGAGCATTTTATCAATGTGCAAACCAATGATTATGATTTTTTAATTCAAAATTAAGAAAAAAAAAGTCTCTTTTTCTCTATGAATTATATTCATCTGTATAATATTTACATCGAAATCAATCAAGTACAACAAACCGATAAACACAACACAAGATTACCAAAATAAAGAGAAAAAAAATATCCATAATCAGCTATCTACATGTTTTTGATCAATGAAATAAATATTCACTTGATTATAAAGATCATTTTTAACTGTTCAATCTTCATAAAGGTGTTTTACATCTTGTTTAATAACATCAAAATCAGACGATTCTGTTAAGTTGTTGATTAATTCTAATAATTTAAAATAATTTTTATTCTCCTCTTTAACATTTTCCCATAATTTTGATGATGCCAATATTTTTTCATGAACAGATGACAATGGTTTAATTGAATCTATTTTATCTCTTATATACGTGTCTTTCATAATCATTATTATATTTATTGCACACTGTAGATAAAACGTTCTTTCATATTCATAATCTTGTTTAAAGAATAAATTCTCTGATAATTTTAAATGAAAACGAAAAAAATTTTCACTAGCATACGGAATTGTTCCTTCTATTGGTAATTCCAATGCCAAGTCATTTATTTCGTAAGTTTTGGCAAAACCAAAATCGATTAATATTAAATGCTGACGTCTTCTATCAAACATCAAGTTTGGTGGACGTAAATCACGATGAATAATACAACAATCGTATAAGTATTGAACGATATCAATAAGTTGTTGTGAGTGAATTAATGTTAATGATTTAATAGATTCTAATTCATTTTTAAATAATAAATATTTACCTGAAAATAAAAATATATTATCATTCGAAATTCAATTAGAGATAAATTTAATTGAAATTGACTTTTTAAATAAGACATTCATTTTCATCTTCTTGTTATCAACTATTTTATCTAAACTATAAGACATAATAGAATCGATAAATGTTCAATTACAATCATAGATTTATATGAAAGATAAAGTAATAAATATAATTTTAATTAAAAAAAAATTCAACTAATTTATTAATCGATGGAGAATTTTATATTTTATATTTTAAAAGAAATTAAGAATAAAATCAATTTGAACAAGAACTAATATTTTCGAGAAAAACTATTAAAATCTTAAGAAACTCAACCAAAAACGAAAAAAAAACACATGATCAATTTTAGAAAAATTAAATTTGGAGAAAATGTTTTTTCTTCGTCGTTTATTAAAAAAAGTCAAGTCATTTTCATCAAATTTCTACTTGATCATGTGCACCTATTACTACTCTATATTTTCGAATGTTTCTATTTCGAATTGTAAACTCTTTTATTTAATCGATTTTCAATTTTTATGCCTTGAACTTTTATTGTGAAAATAAAACTTAATTAATTTTATATCAAATATCATTATATTCTTCATAATCATAGAAATTCTCGTGAAAAAAAAACGTCAATTTTATTCATAATGAAAATAGTTTGAAATTCATTATAAATTATGAAAACATATTGTCAACATTAACACTTTGTTTATTCGGATAGATAAGAGAAAAACATTCATTTCTATTCAATTTTATA